GGGTTTAGGGCTTAGGGGTTTCAGGTTTAGGGGTTTAGGGTTTAGGGTTTAGGGTTAAAGGATATTTGGGCTTGAAGAATTACCCATACTTTTTGTGAGGGCTTATGATTCCGTTGTAATGATGAAGTACCCCGGAACCCTGTTGTCATCGTTCAGGCCCCTATATTACAGACAAGGCCTTAAGCCCCGGAAACCTAAACCCTAAGCCCCAAACCCTAAACCCTGAGCCCCAAACCCTAAACCCGAAACCCTAAACCTCTAAACCCTAAACCCTGAGCCCCCAAACCCTAAACCCCAAACCCTAAACCCTGAGCCCCAAACCCTAAACTCTAAACTTAATTAAGCCCCTGAAACAGAGCCGTTGCTCCGACCTGACCACGGGCCATGTACGCCCGAGGCGAATGTAGACTCTCCCCCCCGTCCCTTAATGTTAGGCTTAGGGGTTTAGAGTTTAGGGTTGAGGGTCATGAGGCTTGTACCAGGGATCCGAATATTGAGGCCCTTAAATCCATTAATGATTCAGGGTCGGGGGTTTATGAATCAGGGGTCGACACTACTTCTACGGACCTCCAGTAGCCGTGACTGAGCTCCTTCATGCATGCGATAGTTTCTATCCCTAAGAGCCTCGTTGCCTAAGAAGTAGGTTACTGACGCATGCTTACTCGACGGTTTTGTACAGGTTCAAGAAGCAGTAGCTCACGTTTAGTAGGTTGTGTTGGGCTCCTAGAGTATGAGACCCTGAAGCCTTAAAGTCCTAAACCCCAAACCCTTATAAACCCTAAACCCTAAACCCTAAACCCTAAACCCTAAACCCTAAGCCCTAAACCCTAAACCCTAAACGGCCGGGCTGAGGGTTTGGGGAGGCTCAAGTTTGACGCGTACGCTCAGGAAGTAGGCAAAGCCGCAAAGCCATGGCGTGAGTTTTGGAGGGAAAGGTAATACAGAAGCCTAATATTATTCTTAAGGTTCCTTATTCTAATTATAGTATATTTCAAAACCCTACTGTATTCATTATAAGGCCTCTATAGTACACAAAAGCAACACCCCAAACCTATCCGAAACCCTAAACCCTAAACCCTAAACCCTTTCAGTCCCCGAAGCTTTCATTTAAGACGTCAAGGCCTGAACCCATCGGAGTGGGAGCTGGTGGAGGTTTCGGGCTTGAAAAGCTTAGAGGGCTTAAGGTTTAGGGTTAGGGTTTAGGGTTTAGGGTTTAGGGTTTAGAGTTTAGAGTTTAGAGGTTAGGATTTAGGAGTTTAGGGTTAGGGAGCTCACGGTTCGTCTCTCGAACTAGTTTGCAGGCGCATTTTGCTGAGCATGCTCGGCGTCTCGCTTTCCGGAGGCAGGCCATCTAAGATAGGGCTCACGGTTTCCAAGGCCCCATGTAATGGTCCTTTGACGTCCAAGGGATATCTATACTGGGACTCGGGCTAATACTAAACCCTAAGCCCCTAAACCCTAAACCCCTAAACCCCAACAACCCACTCAAGCTACCTTGTGCCAGAATGTCTACGGCATGGACAGCCCAGATCCGGAATATCATGGAGCGGAAAACCGAATTGGCAATGTACACGGAGTTCCAGCGAGCGTACGTAATGCGGAGGACTTCTATGAAGAAGCTGGGCGACCAGACGGTCGTCGGAATGCTCAGCATGCTGGGAACTCCTCAGTTGGAAATGATCAGATGCGAGACGGGGACACCGCTGATTCGAGCGGACCTGACATCGGAGAGGACAGTCCGAGATTTCTTACACGAGATGGCGGAGGAGGTGAAAGACTGCAACAGGGCGGCGAAGGCGAACCTTCACGAGAACAGCAAGATAGCTCATGGAGTGCATGGGCCGGAGGCTATGGGCGCAGTTGCATTGCGTCATTGGTCGACTCCACTGTCGATCTATTATTCGCCGTTGTCGCAGGAGCAGAGGCAGTATCTATCAGACCAGGACGATTGGGAGGCTTTCCAGAGGGCAGTGTGGGACGATGTGCCCCTTGTCGCGCTATATGCTGTATTACCCCGTGGTTTACGTCGGCCGAACGAAGAGATGAAGAAATTTATATTGACTGGCGAGGCATGGGAGACGATTTCAGCATGGTTGAGCGAAGCTGCCGAGAGGCCACTTCTATTGTACAAGACGCCGCCAGGGCCACCCTGTCCGGAGCTCTTGTTCACAGCAAAGTGCTTTGCTTGGTCGAAATGGGTCGATGTGTATTACGACCCATCTGCCTGTCGGGAATTCGAGGAGGTGAAAGAGTCCTTCGACTCTTTCTACCCTGGATGGACGCAGGTGAGAGCCGAGCTCATGAAGAAGAGTGTCTGGTGATCCAGACCATCGACCTGTGTGCCGACGTCATTTTGTTCGCTTTTGACGTCGCATACATTGCTGTCGACCTTCATTTATTTTTCACCTCAGCCGGCATCTGTCATGTCGCTTACGTCTCAACTTACGCATCTATTTTGTTTTCGGTTGCTACCTCGCAGCCGTCCGCTTTTCATGCTCTCCGGGTAGTGGGCTCATTCATCTGGGCTCCTATCGGCTACTGTTACACGGTTTTGCAACAGTGGAACGTCGCAAGACGCTTGAGCACGAATTCACAAGTGGGGCAACTTATTTCGGCCCGGACTGGTGGTATATGCCACTACTGTCTGCCGACAGGGTACGACCCCAATCACGAATTCGATCATCGTTTTCATGACGTCGAATCTTACGCACACCGCTGTTACCAGTGCGTCATTCGACACTGCTTTACCGGCGACCGCCCTATGTTTGTGGTCGAGCGAGTTCACCATCGTTTGTTCCACCGATGCCAGCACGTAGTCGCATCGGACAGGGATAGGGCCAGAGGCCAGATGGCGAACATTATGCTGACTCACAGCGCGTTGGTGGAGGAGAGCTCTCTGCTCAAAGAGCACTCCTATGAGTCCTTTATAGGACACGCCGTTAGAGCAGAATTAAAGCTTTTAGGTGGGAACCTCAGGTTCCTGAGCCCGGCCGTCGAGGGTGTCGACGGGCCAGAGCGGAGTGCGTTTCACCATGGTTCAGCCAGCGGACATGAGACATTAACGACACCTCACGTTGATGCGCAACGGTTCGTTGGTTTGGGCACTCCACTCATTCCATACACCCATGCCGATCCAGGCACGCCTCTGGACGGTATCAAGATAGTAGTAGATCTCGAGAAATGTGATCTCAGGAAAAATTTAGCTGAACGATTTGAAAACGAAGAAGCCTTGAGCCACGAATCAAAGATATGCATCGTTGATGAGACCCTGTTGGAGACGCACAATGTACCACCGAAGGCAAAAGTGGTTGTCCCAGGGCTCACCGTGGACGATTTGTCAAAAATTATGGTGGCTTCAAACTCCCACAACAATTGCATTGCGGGAATTGGCAACAGACATTATGCGAGGAAGAAAACAACGGTCGCATGGAACGGAGAGATATTCTCAAACACTGTTGGCAACCCGACAGTCCTCATCAGAAGATGTGTCCACGCATACATCAACATTTTGGTAAATGGACTTGCCAACATTGATGAGAACACGCTCATTCGTCAAGACCTGGAAGTTCTTGAAGTGCCTGCTTCTGAAGTCACGTGCGAGCTTCACGGAAAGTCGGTCTTCCCCATACACAAAGAGATTGAGGAGATTGCCACAAACTCATTCACGAAGGACATGATCGAACACAATTTCAATGCGAGTTCTGGGGATACAATGCAAAATGAACCGACAACACAGGCGTTTGTCAAGCCTAATGAGGCTTTAAACAAAATAAAGCCGCGTCTGATTCAACACAAGGGCCCATTGGGTTCAGCTTATTCGGCCCTTATGAACAAGTCTATCGAGGCTATGATATTCAGACTGGCGTACTTCGTGTCTCGTTCCATCAAGGGTACAGACACAAAAGGCGTCAACAGTCGCATCTTACGCCTCTACAACGACTTTAAATCGGGAGGATTTGCCTCAACGGACTTCGGTTCGTTTGACAGTTCTATAACCGATAAGTGTGTTGAAGATCATTCAAAACCCGGTTTGCGACGGATAATAGAGGAAGCGTTAATGAACAAGCTCACCGATATGTTTCCTGAGTCCAGTGATCTCAAGAACGCATCTTCCAAGCGATGGAAGAAATCAGATAAGGTGAGATTTGACACGCTAACTCTGTTTACATCCATCCTTATCCGGTATTCAGGCGACGGCTTGACTTCGGTGGGGAACTACATCATCAATTGGACGATCGACCAGGTCATAGACGCAATCGCCGATTGCCTCTTCACAATTTATGACTGGTCTGAATACACGGCCGACGAATTCTTCACTTGTTGCGTGGAGATTATAAGCAGGCAAGACTTCATTGACGCCGCGGTCGCTCACGTGAAGAAGACTGCGGAATACGACGTGGAGACGATACGTCGTGAGTCAGCCGGGGAACATGTTCGCAAGCCCATCAAAGAGTTCATTGCGGGAGAAGGTGACGATCGGGCGAAAGCGTATTCCTGGCCATTCATTCAAAAGTTTCAGCTACAAGACCGGCGGAACAAGCGAGCGAGGGAGGTACTTGGACTGGTGACCGCTATACTATACGTTGAAGCCGGCATGTCCTTGGAACCCCAAGACAGAACAGGGCGGGTCGAACCAGACAAACTCATTGACACTGAAGACAGGATTGAGTTCGTCAGCAGGATTTTCGTCCCGTTAAATGATGGACAGCTCATGCGCAGCTTTCCAAAGCTCAGGAAGACGTTCGCCGTCTCAAGTATCACATTCAACATGCGAGACCAGCTACACACGGCTGCAGCCACCAAGATGATCAGCATAATGATGGTGTGCGATCAATGTCCTCTTCAGTTTGCCTATTACTCTATGATTGCCAGGATCCACCTGGAACGAGTCGAGGCAGATACCATGGACCTGAAGAGGCGCAAATACGAATGGTGGGAACAGAAGCTCGTTCATCTCATTGAAGACAACGGGCTTTCGGGCAACCTCCGCAAAGTTTACGACTTCCTTCGGGATCGTTACGAAAAGGAGGAGGAGCCAGGGCTAACCGCCCAAATGCTCAAGGCCCTTAGCCGTGAGACAAAAAGGACAACGAAGGAATTGAGCGCCATGATCGATTGCTTCAATGAGGTAAGTGGGGCCGATCTGTCATTGGCAGAGGAGCTCACGCAGAGCTATGCTACCATTCTTCCCCCCGTCTGACTTCGTCAGGCCAGGGGACCGCATTTATGCGGTTTGGTGCGTGAGTTGGAACTGCCATAGATCGGACCACCCAGCAGCCAACTGGGTGGGGGAGGGGCCTGGGCGTGTTTACCGAGCCACACGCCTTCTGCCAGTGCCCAACTAATGCTTAAGGGGAACCCATGCCCCTACAGGTCGAGTTTGCGCACACTTGTCCGGCATCCTGACCTTCTGACGAGCGGTGAGGACTCCTTAGCCAGGAGATAACCGCGAAAGCCCCCATACGCCACAGCGAGCAGACGCGTGCGGGATTAGCGTATGGGCGGGTGGTGATGGTGCTCTACGTCCCTTAGGCAAGGACAGAGGTATCGCGCGATGGTAAAGCGCCCCATCTGCACGGAGACAGGCAAATTAATGCCCTGCGCAGGGATGGCACCCTGTGTAGACCACCCGGAAATGTGACTACGGCACCCCGCCGAATCCGTGGACGCTAAGTTCGGGTCACGGATAAGTGGGGGTTTCACAAACATCCCGCTGCATGTGTAAAGTCTTATTTTTGAGGGTAACCCCTGCCCTCATGCGCCAACCAATCTCACGAGTGCAGGCTTCGTCATGTGAGCCGACAGGTTAAGGCCGCTTCCCGGTGCGACGAGGCTTGCTTTACCAAACGCATCTTCGCCGAAGCTGCAGCGGAGGGACCCGCCCGCAAAGCGCAGCTCATCCGAGCCGTACTTAAAACTGGGCGGCGCTACAAGTCAGCAAGAACCGCAATTGTCCTCCGTGAGGGAGGACAGGACCTGGTGGACCAGGCCGAGGTGCTCCAAAGGCTCGGTGCACACTTTGCAGCTGCTGAGCAGGCCACTCCTCTCCCACTTTGCGCTTTGTCCACCTCTACTGGACCACCGGAACGGCAGCAATTTCTGGAGGCACAGGAGCTGCCGACTATCGCTGACCTGGCCAGGGGATTTGCTGGACTCAAGCCTAGAAAAGCTAGCCGCGATCTTTGACTCGACGCCC